ATGGGCTAGCCTGCGGTGCAGCACAACAGCTTACAATCTTACACAAATCTACAGTATTCCCCCTCCCATAACTGGTCCTGTAGCACGTGCCTGAGTATTCCTTCTGAGCAAAACGCCAGTCTGGTTTGAGTTTGTGCAATTTTATCAGCTCTCCAATGTGAAATGTCACTTTAAGTTATGGAGTCCTTCCAATGATCAGTAATAACACTTGTGGCCTGACACAAACAGAGACCCTAACTAACTAACTATAGGCCTGGACTCAGTCTCTAGGCGCCAACACTGAAATGAGGTGCGTGCACGATCTTACAGACCTGGGTCTAGTTTTCATCCGCTGGTGACTCTGAACAGAACAAATGTCTCTCCAACATATGTATGTTGCTTTGTTCCTCTGCTCTCATCAGAATTCCTGGCAGCAATCTTCTTTTCTCTGAACAGGATCAGGGTCTTGGACACGATCAGCTTCACTTAGCTGCAGCTCTGGTTACTGAGGGATGCTCTCACACCTGGATGCCATCAGATTCTCTGCTCACACAGCTCCTCCATTTACCATCCTCCAGACATGGCTGCTCTCTCTCCTCTTCCTGTTCTCTCAACCCTGTGTGAAAAACCCCACCTCTTCATGAATATAAAAATTCTATGCAGTCTGAGGCTGTGTTAGGAAAACAGTGGCATCTTGTGGCTAAACCGCAGAATGTCAGTCCAGAACATTGAATTTACTCCACACAATAATTTACTCCACACAAACAGTGTTCAAACAATGAGAGCTGTTTCCCCATCTCACAGAGAAACAATCACCAATTTGTACAGCATTGCTCTCCCACTTCTCAGATGAGCTGCCCATCACTCACTGCCACATTAGGTCCTTCAGTTGGGGAGCGACACTATACAACAGGTAAGCATTTTTTCTACCCTGTCCAGCAATTGATTCTGTCAATAACAAGTTGTAGCCAGAGATATGATCACATGTGTGACATGGCCCTAGGGTAAGCAGCCTGTCTCCTTCCCTAATTCAATTGCCTAGTACAATAATTGCACAAGTATTCAGCTGTTTAGGACTACACTAAGGAGTGATAATGAATATCAAAGAGGAAAATATAATAGATTATTATTATTACACAGGATTTATATGGCACCAGTTTGCTCAGCGCTTTACAATATAATGGGAGACAATACAGCAACAATACAGTTCAATAAAAGAGGGATAGGAGGGCCCTGTTCCTTGGAGCTTACAATCTAAGAGGGAGGGGCTAGTGGTACAAAAGGTAATAACTGTGGGGGAATGGACTGGTAGGAGGAATAGAAGATTCCATTATTAGCCGAGGGCAGGATAGGCTTCCCTGAAGAGATAGGTTAATAGACAATTATTGTATTACTTGTACAGGATGTAATAAGAAAGGTTTTGCAAGAATTGAAGGTTAAGACATTTTTCCTTGGCACCCCCATCATTAGTGATAGGAAGAGTTCCCTCTTTGCAACCCTTGTAAAGACACCCTAGCTTTTTTCTGATTTAGGCAGTACACCCACTGTGACATTACCTCTTCAATACTATGTATAGCATAATGGACACAAAAAGGGTGCTGTTTCTGCCCATATACAGGGTAACATGAACTGCCACAACCAACCAACCTCATAATCAAAAACCCAACAAATACTGTACCTTCTAAATAGGGGCACATGGTGTTCCTGCTGATATTAGAGAAAATCTACAGAGCTGAACATACAAGTGTCTCCTTCTTCAAAATATAAGTCCCGGAGAACATCTTTCAGAATAATTATTTCCAGTACTCGGCAATGCACTTTTTCTTTTTAATATCTGGTTATACTGTACGTGCGCAAGTAGAAGCAACTGTCAATGTAGTCATATTATTTACTAACCACAGACACATGAAGAATGTTACAGCTCTTCTGTTAACAACTGAGGTCCTGAAATAAGAGAGCAAATGATATTTTAATAGAAAGAGTTATTTTTCACACAGCCCAGGGGGTCTCTGGTCTTCAAGAGAAGAAAAAAGCCTCTCTTAAACCAAAGGGCTTGAGGGCTCGTTCACACCATGGTGCAAAGACATCCGTTTTTTCTGCAAGGACACAATGCAATCAATTGTTCTCTATGTGCCCTGTTCACACTAAAAAAACACTGGTATCACGTACTGGAATCTGCAACGTGTATAAAACTCATTGAACCCTGCATGAACACTGATGTCTCTGCAAGTGAAATCTGCGCGTCAGTTCCATCAGTTTTTCTGTGCAGATGGTGTGACCGAGGCCCGAAGGATGGGCAATGTCTGTGGAATTCTATAGTATTAAGCTGGCTATACAGAGTTGATATAAACAATAAAAGAAAAAAATGATCCTACCAGGCTTATGTCTTTAAATATATAAATAAGGGGAGGAGAGCTCACCACAAAATCCAAGATCAAAAATACTCTGCACATAAAAGATGGCTTTTGCTCAAAATCTCAAACCCAAAATATCTGAAAAAAAGGAATCTTATTTGTGATTAAATATTGACAGATCATTGACAGCAATAGCAAACCTTTATTGATTAAAATGACACATAAACACAATAACATTAACCCAATATAAAAGAAAGTTGTGGGTCAGAGGTAGTAACCATGGATCCAATGAATCAAATGTCATCCATACAATTCATTAGTAATTGCATTTTATAAATATATAATTATTGATTGGACTGAGAGCTCTCAGAGAAGAGGGACAGGCATAGAGTAAACAATGCAGAAAAAAAGAGTGGCCACTAAAAATTGCAGCTGCTATATTGATGCATTCCTCTCTGTTCGTTGCCCATTTTGTGTGAAGATATGCTGGATAAGCCATAAGAATCCAAGATGTAATGGAGATCAAAAATAGACTGGTGGACATAGAAAGGACCAAATAGATTTCAATAGATCAATTGCATTGAGCCATCCTTAATACATGAATTGTGAATATAGCGAGCGCTCAGAAAAACCAGCCGCTGGAACACTTCAAGGGATCACTAGACCTCATAACAGAGACATTATACATATATATAGTGCAGCGCTAAAATATGATAAAATTAATATAAATTCATAGAGTCTTTCTTGTGACAATAAAACCAAATATGTGCAGGTCTTCTCCTCATTAGGTGACTGGAAAATAGCAAAAATGCGCACTCACCGACCGCACATTTTAAATGCGCCTGTGTATAATATAATCCAAAAGACCAGCCAGGTATGCAGCTCCAGAGACCACACGGATCCTCCCTCTCCACCACTAACATCCGCCTTGGGTGTAGCAATATCTCCAGATCCAGAGGCCCTCTCGCCTCATACATCCATCCTGCACGGCTACATCAGAACCCTGCTCCTTGCCTGCAACTCATCAGCTCACCTGCTATTACTGGACTGATCACAGGCACCCATACCCCACTATCTCACTATCAGCAGTCCTTGAGCCAGAGTTGTATGGGAAGCCTGCCTCTTCACGTCAGGCTCACTATCCAGATATACATCTTCCATTCTTGGGGTGTCTGGAACCAGAAGGGGGATCCCTGTCTATCTACCTGAGGCGAGAGGGCCTCTGGATCTGGAGATATTGCTACACCCAAGGCGGATGTTAGTGGTGGAGAGGGAGGATCCGTGTGGTCTCTGGAGCTGCATACCTGGCTGGTCTTTTGGATTATATTATACACAGGCGCATTTAAAATGTGCGGTCGGTGAGTGCGCATTTTTGCTATTTTCCAGTCACCTAATGAGGAGAAGACCTGCACATATTTGGTTTTATTGTCACAAGAAAGACTCTATGAATTTATATTAATTTTATCATATTTTAGCGCTGCACTATATATATGTATAATATCCTTAATACATGCGTATGGTTATAGAATGTCCCAGTCAGGAAAGAAGCAGCTGATGTAACCCAGAGGAGGACAATAAGATGTGAAGACTGCTTATGGATGTAAATCTACTTTCATATATGTATATTATCATATATATTATTATACAGGATTTATATAGCGACAATAGTTTGCTCAGCGCTTTACAATATAACGGGAGACAATACAGCAACAATACAGTTCAATACAAGAGGGTTAGGAGGGCCCTGCTCCTCGGAGCTTACAATCTAAGAGTATAGACAGATACCTCCCTCATACATAAAGCCACTTGGAGCTGGTATGCTTCCATGCAAGTAAGCATCAATAATGCAGGTGCAAAAAACAAGTACTTATCTCATGGATGGTGCAATGAAGATAGCCACATTTCATTCCATGAATTCAAAGTATAGTCCCTCTTGTCAAGGTGTGAGAGAAAAGTATACTTATATTATAAATAATTATATATTTATAAAAAGTAATTACTAATGAATTATATGGATGACATTTGATTCATTGGATCCATGGTTACTACCTCTGACCCATAACTTTCTTTTATATTGGGTTAATGTTATTGTGTTTATGTGTCATTTTAACCACTAGCCTACAAGGCACTTATACCCCCTTCCTGCCCAGGCCAATTTCCAGCTTTCAGAGCTGTTGCACTTTGAATGACAATTGCGCTGTCATGCAACACTGTACCCATATGACATTTTTATCATTTTTTTGAGACAGATAGAGCTTTATTTTGGTGGTATTTAATCACTTTTGGGATTTTTATTTTTCCTTAAACAAACCAAAAACCACTGAAAATTTAAAAAAAAAAACACTTTTTCTGTTTTTGTTATACAATTTTGTAAATAAGTGATTTTTCTCCTTCACTGATGTGCGCTAATGAGGCTGCACTGATGGGCACTTATAGGCTGCACTGATGGACACTGATAGGTGGAACTGATGGGCACTGATGAGGAGGCACCGGTAGGTTGCACTGATGGGCATTGACAGGCATCACTGATGGGCACTGAATGGCAGCACTGATACATGACACTGATATATGGCACTGATAGGTGGCACTGATAGGCAGCACTGACTGGCACTGTTAGGCAGCACTGACTGGCACTGATAGGCGGCACTGATGCGCACTGATAGGCGGCACTGATGTGCACTGATAGGTGGAACTGATTGGCATTGATAGGTGGCACTGATTGGCACTGATTTGTGACATTGAAAGGCACCTCAGATGGGCACTGATATGTGGCATTGATGAGCACTGGTATGCACTGATATGTGGCATTGATGTGGCACTGATGGGCACTGGCACATGGCACTGATGAGCACTGACTGCTGGCACTGATGGACACTGACAGGTGGCACTTCTGGGGCCACACTGATCATCAGGGCACACTGATCATCAGTGCCCTGATGATCAGTGTACATGTCCCCTCCGCGGAAAGCCGATTACCGGCTCTCCTCTCCCCTCCTCTCGAGCTGTCAGCGTGACAGTTCGAGAGGAGAGAAATGCCGATAACCGGCATTTCCGTGTTTACATGTGATCAGCTGTGATTGGACACAGCTGATCACATGACAGAGCCGACATGTTCGGCTCTTTCCGTGATCCGTGATCCGCTATGTCTGAGGGACACAGCGCACCGGTGAGCTGCGCATGCGCGGTGAGAATAGAAGGACGTCATATGACGTCCTATCAGAACGAGAGAACCACCTTGCGCCCGTCATTGTACTATATGGCAGGCGGAAGGTGGTTAATCAATAAAGGTTTGCTATTGCTGTCAATGATCTCTGTCAATATATAATCACAAATTAGATTCCTATACAGAGTTGAACATAGAAACCTCCTTCTTTCTTGCCATCATTGAGTCAAATGGTATTGTTTGAAAGCATTTCAAATGTCATCCAGACCTGCTAATTAAATGGCATACCAGACATATTAAAAAAGTTTCATTACAATAAACATAATTTTTCCCAGAAGAAAACCACATTCACAGTTTGGCTTGTTTGTTCAAGAAATATTTTCCATCCTATTTCTTCAAATTTTCTCATCACTACAGTTGAAAATGAACACCAATTTTACCCAACTAACCATAAGAAAAAATCAAAACATTCTAAAGACTTTTCAAATTTTCAGAAGAAATTCTTCCGGTGTATGGCCAACTTTAGATTACATGAACTTGTTTATTTAATGTGCACATTTTCTTCTGTATTATATAGTACAACTGGACAGGGTATGGTGACATGAGCTAAATAGAAATAAAAATCCCAGTTTACCATATCTTTCTTCTTGCATCATTGTGTCAGTCCATAAGACCTACTTCATAGAAGCCATGGTTTCTCTACATTGCACCGATGATGGCCAACTAGCACGAAACAGCTGTGTACAGTTTGGTAAAAATGGCTCTGTAATATTAAGCTGTATCTACACCCTAAACTAAGGACCTTCAAACTACGGCCCATGGGCCAAATCCAGCCCACTACAAGATTTCATCCAGCCAACAGATGAGGTCAGTGACCTCTCACAAAGGTCTCACATAGGCCTTTAGGTCAGCTTACATCCCCAACATCCACAAGCCCCTTCTGGTCTCCAGCACAGGCTGTCCCTCGGCTGCTCTGTCATTGTATCATTGTTTGCTGGACTGCCCGCATCCTAACAGCCAATCGTGTGCTTGCCTCCGAATTCACAGGAGGACAGCACTTCTTTCATCCAGGCCTGCTCTGCCTACTGCTCCAGCCATGCTCCAAGATTCCCAGGCATACTATAAGTGTGTTAGGTAAGGATGGAGTCTAATGGGGACTCTGTTGTAAGAGGAAATATCAGAACCCTGATGTGAGGGGGGACTCTGATGTAATGGAGACTCTAAAGGAGGCTCTGATGTATGTCGAGCCTTGATGTAAGGGGAACTTGATGTAAAAGCTGACTTTCATGGGGGCCCTGCTGTAAAAGGAATTCTGGTGGGCTCACATTTATTTGGAATTTCTTTGCTTTGTTTTACTGAAGTTTTTTTTTAGCCCATAAATACTACAATGTGGTTTTAGCCCATAAATACTAAAATATACAATGTGGTTCTTGTACTGAAATGTTTGTAGACCCCTGCCCTAAACCAATGGTTCTGGACATACAGTTGGCCGTAGGGGCAATAAGAAATTGTTTGCATGGTCCCACCCACGATCTTAACCCCTTGGCGCTGTCGCCTCCCGGCCCTTTAAGGGTTTCAGAAGCCAGGAGGCGGGACGGGTTTAGGGTCATGTGACTGCTGTGACACGCCGTCACAGCGGTCACATGTTCGGGAAAGGTCCCGATCGAAAGAGGAGATCGGGACCTTTCCGTGAGTACCGGACATGTGTGCAGGGATCGCGCAGGGTGTGAGCTCTCTGCACATATGTTTTTTTTTATAGAATGTAAATGTGTGGCCGCTTGGCGTCTAGGCCCAGATGCCGGGAGGCCGCACATTTGCGTTCGGCCGGCGCCGCCAGAGGTTAAAATAGAGAATAAGACCCTTATTATTGGGATCTGTGATGGAATTTAGATGTGCAAACACTTTCTGGTTTAAGAATCATCTACTATTTATTATTACTATTAATATTATTATTCAGGTTTATATAATGCCAATCTTTTGCGCAATTCTTTACAATATAAAGAGGGTTAGTACAATTACAACACAGTTCAATATAGAAGGAATAGGAGGGCCCTGCTTATGGAGATTACGATCTATGCTTCTGTATTAGGTACATTTTGTGCACACAACAAATAAACATTAAAGGTTTGAAAATATGTAAAATGTATAAAATATAACATATTAAAAACCAAGAATTATATTTATTGGCATTAAATGTATAAAATATGTACAGAATCATTTTTCAACTGTATATAACAATTTCTTGAGAGGCAATGCACTTCACACAGTTGCTGCTAGATGGCACTAAAAGCATCTGTCATCAAACATCTACTGATACAATGTTTTATACCAACATCTTATTTCATTTTGTTCCATCCTATTTATCAGCTATCTTGTATTTAGTGATATGGAATCAATTATGTGTACAGCTTCAGACCTACAGTTTTAAATACATGTTTTTTTAATATATTCAGACTTCAGTTTTACATATGAGTTTTTCTTATTATTCAGATATTCAGTTTTAAATATTTTTTTTTTTTTCTATCATTTGGAAACTAGTGCCTTCCATAAAGTGTACCTCACCTGGATCCCTATCCTCACACAGGCACTTGCTAAGCATGTACTGTAGAACACATATCCCATGGGGTTGATTTACCTAAAGTATATTTGCTATTCATCTAACAAAGTGAATGCTTACTTTGCAAACAGAATGTTAGTGACTATTGTAAAAGGGTGTTCAATATAAAGCTGAAGTTTATTTTATTTATTTTTTTAATCAGCACCAGAGATGGCATTTATTTGCAGTGCCGGGACATGCTTATCCAGTGCCCAGGGCAAAGATGCCAAAGTGTGCCCCTGCTCCCTTCCTCCATGATGTGCAAGCTTAAGGGATCCTACACCCAACAAAATCACTCTGCAGCATCTGATCTGTCAGTGAGGTTTTGCATTGACCTGAAAGTGCACAATTTTTCCAGTGCAGTCCCCCTCCAAGAGACAGGAAGGAGGGGATAGAGAACACAGCCTGCACCGCCTCCCAGCTTATTCCTCACCACTCCCAGAGCTCCCAGGAGTAATGATGCTGCTGTCACTACTCCTGTCAGCCAGAAGGAAGATGCCCCCATCCCTACAGTAAACCATCACACCCAGGGCAGCTGCCCCTCCCACCTACCCCTTTACCCGGCCCTGTGTATATGAATCGCAAATGTTCGGTGTGCTGGTGCCTGACCTTTCCTTTGAAATCTTCAGTCTGCTTCTCCCCTGATACCCCTCTAGCGGTGATCTTCTGGTGCTGTGGGGGTATTACAAGCCCAGGGGTGGACTGACAACTCATGGGGCCCCCGGGCAATAGGGGATCATGGGGCCCCTGTGTCCTTGCCCAAACTCAAAAAAGCATATGAAAAAGGTACCAGGGGCATCTCATGGGGCCATAGATAAAGGCAGTTTTTTAGAGGTTGCAAAATAAATTACTGTATCACCCAATGGATGGCTTCCATTCAGTAGCCAAAAAACATGCAGAAAGAAAGAAGTTTGTGAAAAGAGAATCACAGAAAAGCGGCTACATTATGAACAGAATGTGATACTCAGAAAAATTTCCAAAAAATATGCTTTATTAAACATGAATATTAGACATATGGGCAATCGCCCTGGTTTACCATCACCTCAGTATGAGACAATACACACAGACCTAAAACCATATAAAATCACACCAAGACCGGTCTGGATAAATGTGCTACAAAGACTATGACTGCTATAGTCTAAAAGTCCTTGCAGCACTGGCACATAGGTAACACTTCCTAAAGGAGGTGTATACAAAAATTATACCATAGGTATACAATGTCACATGCTATATATATAGACATATGTCATAGCCATATAGGTTATACCCCATATAGGGGGGATTTCCAAAAATTATACCGAGGGTATATCATATCACATGCATGCAGTACAGCGAGCACAGTAATCGTCAAAAGAGAGGCATGACCATAAGCCTATGATAGGCAATGGATGAGTATAACATAAATAATGCAGTACAACCCTATACCGGCACAAGTGGTTGGGGCCCATTAATCTGTGATAAACGTGACTGATTGAGAGGATTCTTATAATGAAAAGAGTCCCTGTTGTTGCCTTGATGGAAAGATAGATGCCAGTAGCAGTAGCATTGTCTCATACTGAGGTGATGGTAAACCAGGGCGATTGCCCATATGTCTAATATTCATGTTTAATAAAGCATATTTTTTGGAAATTTTTCTGAGTATCACATTCTGTTCATAATGTAGCCGCTTTTCTGTGAATCTCTTTTCACAAACTTCTTTCTTTCTGCATCTCATGGGGCCCCCTACTGACCCCAGGCCCTCGGGCAGTGCCCGAGTTTCCAAATGGTCAGTCCGACCCTGTACAAGCCTCTTCACCTTTGACAGACACCCCTCAAAAGCACTAACTATGCCCACCCTTTCCAACTCCCTGCTTCATTCAGAAGCTATCCTATAACTTCTAGCAGTGAAAAGTGCTGTATGAATTGCAGAGGTGGACTTTTCACTTTTCATCCACCCATCTTCCATTCAAAAATTTGCTTTTCATTGAGGGAAGTAATAGTACAGCTTCTATGTATGAAGCAGGGAAAAATGCCTGTCACAGGACAAGCTGCTCCTATTAACCCCCACAGAATCAGGAGGACACCACTGCAGGGGTATCTGGGGGGCAGAGGATGGGAGATTTCAAAGAAAAGAGCATCCACCAGCACACGAGACACTTGTCATTCATGTAAGTACCGTTCTTACTGCTGAAAAAATTATAAACTACTAAACTTCAGCTTTAAAGCAGTTGTAAAGGCTCTTTTTGTCTTAAAATATTTAAACATGTTATACTTACCTGCTCTGGCAATGGTATTGCGCAGAGCAGCCCCGATCCTTCTTTTCTGGGGTTCCTGATGGTGCTTTCAGCTCCTCCTCTTCTCCAA